CGACTAAAATTTCTTTTAATATAATATAAGTAAAAAATGATAATACTTATATTACTATGTATTCAAATATTACATAGAAAAATAAAATTTGTGAGATAATATTAATATATAAAATTGTTGAAATATAAAAATATAACTTGATTAGTTATATAAATTGTATATTGAAATTCAATAACCTATATTATTCGTTATATAGTTGTAAAAACTATTTTAACTTTATATTATGTGGTAAAGAGGTAGTAAGAAAAGGAAAACAGAAAAAAAAAGCCAAAATAACCCAAAAAAACGAAGAAGAAGAAAAGGAAAAGAGGAAGGTTCCAAACAAAAAGGCTCAACCTTTTTTAAAAATGTACATGCAGCCCACTAAGAGAACCGGCCTAACTCTCTAAATCAGCTAAGCCCAGATAACCAAACAGGTTCGAGTGACAACCCCACCCATCAAGAGCCAGCCCAACCTCTACCCCCACCATCAAAACGACGTTGTTTAGGGCTTTTTACCGATTTCTTCATCTCTTCGATCGGCAGGAAAACAGTAGGTCCTTTAGGGTTTGTTTGTTCCAGAAAGAGAAGAGGGGAGAAACGAGAGAGGCGATCGGCGAAAGAAGAGAGAGAGCTGCACTGAAAAAGAGAGAAAAGCACCAGAAACGATAGAGAGAGCGATGCATAGAGGAAATGGAAGAAGATAGAAAGATAGAAAGATAGAAGAGGGACACGTGTCTGAGCTACGACGCGAAGGAGAGAGATAGAAAGAAGAAAACTCAGGGGAAAAGGAGCGGATAGCTGAAAGGAGTGGTTCCCAAAAAGTTAGATAGGGAGAGGCTTAGGGAAGGGATTGTGAAAGTCCCAAGGAAAATACCAGGAGAATTTCCTGTCTGGACCTCGGTAGGTAAGATTTTTTTGACCGTAAAATGTAGCTTTGTTCTTCATCGGTTTTATTGTTGTTCTGTGTAGCTATAATGTTTGTTTGAGTCAAGTAAACTGGTTTTGTAAGAAAAATGGTTTTGTAAGTTGAAAATGAATGTTGAATGCATGTTTGAACGAACACCATGTTTTAATAAGACAATTAAGTACAATTTTCTCATATATACTCATCGATCATGCCTCTTGATAACAGAAAATTGGGAAACCAGAAAAATCCTTAAACCTTACAGTTGCTATACATTGTCTCCGTGTTACTAGACGTTGAATCAGTTCCAGTCAATGTGATGGTTATGGAGATTGTATTTTGTGATTATGGTTATGAATGCAAGGATGTTGCTTTAGTGAACTGTAATATGTATGCATCAGTTGCCATTTATCGGTATGTATGTTAGGTTATGAATTTCAGAAATATTTGTGGTGGAGAAAGCTGCAATCATATTAAGGTTTTGAGTCAAACCAAATGCATCCCTATCACTTTTTTATTTAAACCTCCATCCTTGCACGCCCAGAGTTCCTTTTTTCAATACTGAATCATGGTTGGGCGGCAACTCTCTTCTGATTCTCTAGCCCAGCCTAGGGTTCGGTCAACCTTGTTGGATATCTAGTAATGTGCCCCAGGATGATGCGATAAAACCTGCACATTTGCCATAAGTTCCTTGAAGCTTTTTAATATTTTGGTTTTTCAGGGTATTCTAGTAGTGATTCTAGAAACTGTTCACCCTTCTCTAGTTTGCGTACTTTTTTATCTTTCTTGTTCTTTGAAAAATGAGGCCATTCTCAAGTTGGTAACTTAAAGGTCTCAACCTACTGAATAGTGACTAGAAATCCTTCAATCGGTCAATGACTAGAATCAGGCCTCCCTTACATCATATCATGATTCCTATTGTATTCTCTTCTTAGACATCTTTTACAGGTCTCATTGTTATTGCTGCGATCGTTCTTGTTCTGGTGCCTGAAAAGGACAGGGTATAAGTACAATTTTTTGTGTGTTTGCCAACAAAAGCCCATAACAGGGCAAGGCTGTCCATGCTCTACCAGCCACCGTCTTACCCACTTACCTGCCGATTTGCATTATTTTAGGTTTAAAGGACTGGTTCTCTCATATACCTGAATCCTCTTTTCTATGTTAGTTTTAGGTTCCTGTTAAAACTGATCTTGAAATTTTTAACTCATGCTGATCCACTTTTTGTTTTTCTTTTAATGTATGTTTGCCGCCCACTCTCTGTTTTATTTATTTATTTATTTATTTCTCTTTCCTACGTCAGAGGTTTTCACTTTAAACTGTGGCTAAAGATGGTACTTTAATAAAAAAAAATTCTCGCTGTCATTAGAATTATTATCATCTCTCTTAATGTTGTCTTTGTATAAAGGGTGCGTAATTCAGTTTCTGTTCACCAAATTAGAAGTTGGCCTATTACATAGGGAGCATTTAGTATGGGCTGTATGGATCTAGCGGGGCTTGAGAATGGAAATCATGGCCTGTTTAGAATAGATTCATTTTCCATGCATGCTTATTCTTCATCTTGTCTACTATCTCGGCTTAACTGTTTTTGTATGATGAATCTAAATTTGGAGTCAATTTTTTTTTTCTTTTCTAAAATATGGTTGTGGCTTCAGGTCTGTCCTAGGTTTTCATTTTAGCTTTCCAAGCTTATTTTTTATCTTTCCTTTTCACTTTTGATAAGTTTGATTTTTATAGTGTTGCAAATCTGCCTTGACCTTCAAGATTTTTTTTTTTATGGCTTTTTTTTGTGTTTCCAATTCTTCTGATCAGCTTTATTTCAATATTTGGTATTGCATACTTGCTTAATCCCTAGGAAAGGATCATTGAATTTCCCTTTTTTATTTTCTTTGGGGTGTTAATTGGATTTGGGCTTAGAACACATATTTATTGCGCTCGTATGATTTGGTCGCCTTCCATCCATCTTTGGGTAGATTGAAGCATAAAGTTTGATCCTCCATAGCAAAAAACGGTATCAAACCTGATCAGCTTCCTGTTCTGCACTGCTTTCGGCCCTTTCTGGAACTGACTTTGATGTGTAGGATTGTTTGACTTGGCTTGGGATAAACATTTCCCCATTTTCTGCCTGGATCTTTAGTGTTAGTAGGATGCTTCATTTGACGATGTTTTGGGTCCAAAAATGAGCTAAAATCAGTTGATAGTTTGCTGTCACAGAATCTATATGTCTCTTTTAATCTCTTAACTAGGTCCTACTTCAAGCATGCTGCGTGGGGCATTTTTCTCACGATTCTTGCACATTTCATTACCTTATGATATTGTTTTGGGGCTATGAGGTATATCTGGGTCAAGGTTTTTCATATAAAATTTATTTTTGAGCTTAAATGCATGAGGCTTATTTCCAGGTCAAACTTTTGAAGTAATGGACGAAATGCATGGTTTTGCTGTTTTTTTCTTGGCTGCTGTTTGGTTAACTAAATTAATGGATTTACATGCTGGTCGGGTTCTTAAAATAGGTTGTCTTGTGTGTTTTTCTTTTTACAGGAAATTTTTAATTATCTTGCTGTAAAAGTTGTTATAGTGCATGCTTAGAGAATCTTTTTGCAAAAATTAATTACTTGTTGTCTTAATTTAAATATTTGTAGCTAAAATTAATTAGCTGGTACCACCGGACGGGTGCATCAGTGCTTGCCATCCTGTGCCATTTTTCAGAGCTAGGTTATCTTAGTTACACCAGTGCATGCTTTGGTGCCTAATTCCACTCTAAATGGAATAATGTCTACTCCCTCAAAATTCTTTAGAACATTTAATTTTTGGGAAGTCTTGCCCTCGTCACATGATATAGGATAAATAGGGTTGATTTGTCCAATTAGGGATTTGGGGATAAAAGACTTTGAAATTACACCTAGGGTTCCTTGGACATCACATTCAAGAAATCTTAAGGATCACACTTATGGATTTGATTGCATCACATAATCTGAAAATTGAAAAACTTTCAAAATATCATTGAATAATTGAATGCTCTAGTAAATCAAATTACATTATATTAATCTCCAGTAAATGATTAATCGTTTTCCCTGCGAACTCTCTCAACTCTCCCTTCTCCATCCTCTGAGGGAGACACCCATAAATCGCTTTTAGCCATTACTCTCTCTCTCGCGTCCTCTTTCTATCTACCTCTCTTTCACTCCCTTGAGTAAACGACTTGTAGAGCAGCTAAGGGAAAGAAAATGTCTGAGGTTGGCTGGTGGGGCCGACCTATGCCTAACTATTTGGAAATGTCAATGGCTTCTGACAGAAAATGACCGGAAATCTTTTGACATTACTTGCGGAGGACAAAGTTTGAATGCCTGAGAATATGCGAGAACGGAAAGGGCTTCAGAGTGTCCATCGCCTTCACAAAAGCGAAATTAAGTGGCTTGTTGAGGCCTTTAGCAACTTTTACTGGCTCAAAGGGGGGCATTACATGGGGGAAGAAACTATTAAGCGGCGCCTGACGTCTTCTTGTGGCACTAGGATGGAACAGAAGGGGTCGTTATTTGGCTATGACAGAAGAATGAGGCAAATCTGTCAAAAGAATCTTTATCTTAGAAGGAGAGGGAGCAAGTGAATGGTGTCGTATGATGAAATCCATTTTTGAACTGGCAGAAGTCCCTCTGGTGAACCCGTTCAAAAAAACTATGTAGAATCTATTGGGTTTTAACACCTTGAGTCTTCGCCATGTTCGGTGCTTCTTCAATGCCCCCATTGCAATCACAGCATTAACGTGACAGTGAAAGTAATCGGCGATAAATCCTTTGCCAAGGCTTTGAAGTTGGGTTGTGGTTGCCCTGTTTGGTTGGAGAAGAAGAGCCTCGACTTGGTTCCAAAAATTCAAATTTTGAATTTCAAAAAGCCGACCCAATACAAATCCAATTCTCACAAAGTCACAATCCTTTATGCCTAAATCTACTTGGGAGGAGAAGGGAAAATGGATTGAGCAAATTGGGCTAAGCAAGGAGGACCGAAAGTTTAAAAGCACTAAGTTGAAGAGCCCAAAAGTCAAATGTATGTGGAGGCCCAAAAGAAAACTGACCCAAGGCAGCCCCTCTAAACAGTAGAAGTTGGTTGTTTTGGGGTTACAAGTTGCAGAGGTTGAAAACTCCCAGCCTTTGAATCCTGACTTAGGATTAGAGCTCATGTTGGTCTGAAACTTCAAAAAGGATGCCCTTCCTCTTTTTTCTCCAATAAAAGATTCCAGCAAGATGGTGAGCTTAGTCTTTTGTGGTTGGGATTTCTACTTCACATGGGTCTCTCAAAACATCAGCAGTATCAACAAGTTGTTGGGTGTGACCTTCGATGGGTTTGAGGCTCAAGATTTGCCTTGTTCACAGAACTGGAAAAAAGGAATGGAAATATGCCAAGTGTTGTTGATCAAGCCAAAAGGGTAAAGAAAAAACAATATGAAGGGGGGGCGAGGGAACTGAAATGTCTCCAATGCTCGGTTAATTATGAAGGTAGGAAGTGGAAGAGCAAGGGTAGTGGGGTGGAAACTAGTTCTCATCAATGATTGAATTTTTTTTTTTAGGAATGTAAGGGGTCTTAACGATGCTAAGAAGAAGAATATCATCAGAGGGTGCTTGGATAGGCGGAAACCAGATATTGTTTGTTTTCAAGAAACTAAGATGGAAACCATTTCTGTGAAAACAGTTAGAAGTATTTGGCGTTTGGAAGAAGTAGGGTAGTCTTTCCTTCCTGCAAAGGGCTCGGCTGGCGGCATCCTGGTCATGTGGAATAAGGATAAGGTGGACTGCATTGATTCCTTGGTAGGTGAGACCATGATTTCATGCCTTCTTTCCAATAATGTTAATGGGGCAGAGTGGTACTTCTCTGGTGTTCACTGCAAGGGTAATGAGATCGAAAGAGCGGCTCTTTGGCAAGAACTATCAATGAAGCTATGCATTGTTCTAAATGGAAGGTGGGCAAAGGAAGCAAAATCAAATTCTGATCGGTTATTTTGTGTGGGA